TGGACATCTTTGTCTTATTCTTGATCTTAGGGAGAGATTGCAGTCTTTCATCTTGGAATAGAATGTTGACTGTGAGTTTTTTATCATGTAGAGGAAGTTCTTTTCTATTCCTATACCTAGGAATTTCTAGAATTACTATTTCTGTTCCCAGAATAGTGTTTTCATCATGAAAGGGTGTTTTTTCTGCATCAACTGAGATGATCATGTGGGGCTTTTTCCTGTAGTGCTATTAATGAGGTATATAACAGTGATTGATTTTTGTATGTTGAACCACCCTCCTGCTTCTGGGATAAATCCCAGTTAGTCATGGTGTGTTAGATTCCGCCTGCTATTTTGTTGAGGATTTCTGCATCAGTATTCATGAGGGATATTAGTCTAGATTTCTTCTAGACTGGGGGTCTTTGCCTAACTTTGATATCGAAGTATTTGGTATTCTCTCTTTTTTGGAAGGGTTTGCAAAGGATTTGCATTAACCCTTTAACATTTGGTAGACTCCACCAGTAAAACCATCTGGTCCTGGTTTTTTCTTTGTTGGGAGATTTTCTTTTTGTTTTGCTCTGTTTTTTCCTTCATTCATGACTTTATTTATTTTTTCATGATAAGTCTGGCTAAAGGTTTGTCAATTTTCTTTATCTTTCCAAAGAACCAACTCCTGCCTTCACTGATTTGTTCTATTGTATTTTTAGTCTCTGCTTCATTTATTTCTGCTTTAATCTTTATTATTTCCTTTCTTCTACTGACTTCGGCCTTTGTTCTTTTTCTCCTTTAGGTGTAAGTTTAGGTTGTTTATTTGAGCTTTTTCTTGTTTCTTGAGGTAGACCTGTATTGCTCTACAATTCCCTCTTAGAACAGCTTTGCTGTATCCCTAAGATTTTGGACCACTGTGTTTTCATTTTCATTGGTCTCCATGTATTTTTTAATTTTCTTTTTGATTTCTTGGTTGACCCCATTCATTGTTTAGCAGCATGTTATTTATTCTTCATGTATGTGTTCTTTCACATTTTTTCTTGTGATTGATTTCAAATTTCATATCACTATGGCTGGAAAAGATGCATGATATTTTTTAAAATAGTTTATTGTCAAGTTGGTTTCCATAGATGCATGATATTTTTTAATTTATTGAATTTTTAAATTTATTGAGATTCATTTTGTGGCCTAACAGGTAATCTATTCTAGAGAATATTCCATGTATACTTGAAAAGAATGTAAAAAAAAAAAAAGAATGTGTATTCTGCTGTTTTCAGATGGAATATTCTGAATACATCTGTTAGCTCCATCTTATCTAATGTGTCATTCAAAGCCACTGTTTCCTAATTGATTTTCTGTCTAGGTGGTCTATCCATTGATGTAAGTGGGATGGCAGAGTCCCTTACTATGGCTATATTACTGTCAGCTTCTTCCTCTATGTCTGTTAATAGTTGCCTTATGTATTCAGGTACTCCTATGTTGGATGCATATTTACAATTGTTATATTCTCTTGTTGGATTGTTCCCTTCATTATTATGTAATGTTCTTCTTTGTCATTACAGTCTTTCTCTTACAGTCTATTTTGTCCAATGTAAGTATTCTACTCCAACCTTCTTTTCACTTCCATTTGCATGGTAAATGGTTTTTGTCCCTTCACTTTCAATTTGCAGGTATCTTTAGGTTTGAACTGAGTCTTTTATCACCACCGTGTAGATGGGTCTTTCTTTTCTATCCATTCATCCTATGTCTTGATTGGAGCATTAGGCCATTTACACTTAAAGTAATTATTGATAGGTTTTATTTGTTGCCATTTTGTTATGTGTTTTATGGTTGTTTTTGTAGTTCTTCTCTGTTCCACTCTTCTTTTGCTCTCTTCCCTTCTGGTTTGAAGACTTTCTTTAATGTTATGCTTGAGTTCCTTTCTCTTTATTTTTTTTGTGTATCTATTTTGGTTTTCGATTGTTTACCATTAGGCTCTTCTATAACATCTTACACGTACAGCAGTTTATCTTATTAAGTTGATTGTTGCTTAAGTCCTAAAAACACTAAATTATTACTCCCTCACCCCCCATGTTTTAGGTATACATTTTACTTTTTTTGTTTTGTGAATTCCTTGACTGATTATCAGGAATATTGCCTTGAGCTGATTTCATCTAGCTCTTGTGCTATGATTTTTGTCCTGCTCTTGCATTTGGGACATAGTCCTCTGTCTCCTCATTTTGTCTGACTCTCTTTGTTTCTATGGGTTAGGAAAGCTGCCACATCTCCTGATATTGAAAGTAGTGGCCTTATGAAAAAGAGGTCCCACAGTGCCCTGCAATACAATGCTTCCTGTTCACCAGAGCCAGGCAGTTCAGGGAAGTCTCCTATGTGGGCCACGTGTGCCCTACTGTTCTGCCTGGGACACATTTGTCTTCATATCACTCATCTGTAATGGCTCTCTTTGCCTGCTGTGGGCTCAGTAGGCAGGGTTCGATCCCTGTGTTGTTAGAGCATGCCAGTCTGGAGCCAATGCAGGCTTCTTGTTGGGCAGTGTCAGCAGACTAGATGCCTGCCTGTAGCCCAGCTACCTGGGTTGCAGTTAGAACAAACTGCAGGGCTTTCTTCTTATGCTGCCCCCTGAGAAACTTCGGTTGGAAGATTTTTAATTACTGACTCAGTGTTTTTGTCATAGATCTACTGAGATTCTATTTTTTCTTAAATCAGTTTTGGGAATTTGTTTCTAGTAGTTTCTCCATCACATATAGATTATCTAATTTGTTGGTATACAACAGCTCATAGTTTTCTCTTATATCCTCTTATTTCTGAAAGATGTGTAGTAATGCCCCACTTTCACTTCTAATATTTTTATGCTGAATCCTTTTTATTCTTGGCCAGTCAACTAAAGGTTTGTCAACTTTGTTGATCTTTTCAACTAAACTTTTGATTTCAATGATTCTATTTTTCTATTCTCTATCTCCTCTCTAATCTTTATCATTCCTTTCCTTCTGTAAGCCATGGGTTTAGTTTGTTCTTCATTTTCTAGCTCCTTAAAGTCAGGTTAATGACTTGAGATCTTTCCTCTTTTTTTAACGTAGGTGTTTGCAGCTATGAATGTCCCTTTGATCACTGCTCTCCCTGCATCCCATAAGTTTCCATATGTTCATCTCAAAATGTTATAATTTCATTTGTAATTCCTTCTTTGATTCACTAGTTATTAGAAATATATTTTTAAAATTCAACTTATTTCTGAATTTTCCATTTACCTTATACTGTTGGTTTCTAAGTTCACTTCATTGGGATCACAAAAGATATTTTGCACGATTTCATTCTTCTTAAATTTATTGACACTTGGTGTTTGGCCTAACACATGGTTTATCCTGGAGAATAATCCATGTGTTCTTGAGAAAAATGGGTACTCTGCTGTTGGGTGAAGTGTTCTATGGATATCTGTTAGGTGAAGTTGGTGTATAGTGTTGTTCTAGTCCTCCATTTCCTTATTGATTTTCTGTCTAGGTGTCCTCTCCATTATTGAAAGTGGGTTATTGAAGTCTCCAGCTATAATTGTAGAATTCTTTATTTCTCCCTTCAGTTCAGCTAATGTTTGCTTTATATATTCAGGGATTCTGCAGCTTGGTGTGTAAATGGCTATAATCTTTATCTTCTTGATGAATTGACCCTCTCATTGATATGTAATGTCCTTAATTGTCTCTTGTAACAAATTTTCACCAAAGCAGATTACGTCTGATATGAGTATGGCTACTCCAGCTCTCTTGGTTCTTATTTACATAGAATATCTTTTTCCATCCTTTCACACTAAACCCATTTGTGTCTTTGGATCTGAAGTCTCTTATATACAGCATATATAGTAAGATCATGTTTTTTCATCTATTCTGCCAATCTCTGTCCTTTAACTGGTGAATTTAATCTATTTACTTTTAAAGTAATTACTGTTAAAGCAGCACTTTTTACAGTTAGTTGTTTTCTATGAATGTCATAACTTTGTCTTCCTGAATTGTTTCCATCCTCGTCTGCTGTGTTAGATTTTATTTTCTAATGTACCATTTTCATTCCCCTTTTGTTTATTTTCTCGATATTTTTTAGTTATTTTCTTATTAGTTACCCTGGTGATTATAATTAACATCCTAAATTCAGAAAAGTATAATTTGAATTGGTATCAATTTAGCTCTAATAATGTATTGGTTAGGGTTTTCCAGAGAAACAGAACCAATAGAATGTGTAAATAGAGAGAGAGATTTATTTTAATTATGACTGGCGGTCATAATTATGGAGGTTCACAAGTCCAGAATCTGCAAGGTAGATTAATCAAGATTCATTAAGTGCTCCCCTAGTTGAAGTATTCTATTAGAATCCACAGTTCTACAAAACTTGATTCTGTTATTTTTTGCCAGCTTATTGGTTGTTTCAGTGGAGGGACAGATTCTTGGAGCACCCACCTCTACCATTTTCCATGATGTTACTATTTACATTTTTTTAACTTTTAATTTTGAAATTATTATAGATTCACAGGTAGGTGCCAAGATAATACAGGAATGTCCCATGTACCCTTTACCCTCTACCTCTAATAACATCATGCACACTTAAACTATCAAAACCAGGAATTTAACATGCACAGTGCAGCATAATGAATTTTAAAAGATCACTTCAAATGGGACACCTGGGTGGCTCAGCTGGTTAAGCGTCCGACTTTGGCTCAGGTCACAATCTCGCAGTTCATGAGGTCGAGCCCCACGTCGGGCTCTGTGCTGACAGTTCGGAGCCTGGAGCCTCCTTCAGATCCTGTGTCTGTCTCTTTCTCTCTGCCCCTCTCCCGCTTGTGCTTGTCTCTCTCCCTCCCTCTCAAAAATAAAATAAACATTAAAAAAATTAAAAGTAAAAATCTTAAAAATCAATTAAAACAAGGCTTAACCACATGAAATTTCACAACATCAAGGATAAAACAACCCTAAAAGCTTTCAGAGAGAGAAGATATAATTCACATACAGAGGTTGGTAATCTGAGCGGAAAACAAGAGAACAATGCCTTCAAAATTCTGAGTGAAAAACATTTTTTTATAGAACTGTATGTCCAGCGATGCTGCGAACAAAGTATGAAAACAGAAAAGACATTTTCAGTTGTGCCAAGTCTTAGAAGCCACAAAGAGATGTCCTTCCCCATCTTGTGACAGGAAAGAGAAAGAGGAAGGCGGGGAAGCAGGGAAACAAGGGCTCCATGAGAGAAGGCCAAGGAAATGCCCAGGAGAGGGGATGACAGCCATGTGGCTGTTTGGTCAGAGAGCGAGGCCCGGCTTCCGGAAAGGATGTTGCCAGGGAAACGGGGAATGGGTGTGCTGCCCAAAAAGACGGACCTGTGGAAGACAGCATTGTGACGTACTGCCAAAAGTGGGTAAGAGTATGGAAGGACTCAGCCAGAGATTTTTAGCAAATAAAATTAAACAGATGAAAAGAATTATTATGCCCAAGGCGAGAGGAAATAAGAAGGAAAATGCAATTCTAGCTTGGCAATAAACAAGTTAGGCATTTGTATTTTCAAAATTATGGAAACTCTAAATGTGCTTTCAACCATAAACGATATAGCTATTTTGGGGGGAGTGGGAGAGGGGAGAAAGATATGAGAGAAAATAATAATCTACCAAACCAGTAAATAATTATCTAGATAATGTCTAAATTTGGCAGATCAAGAAATAGCAGGGTATGCTTATTAATTTAGAAATCTAGCAGTAAACACCAAAAACTGACAAAAGAGTTGGGCATTCCCCTAGCAGGTTAGAGACATGCGTTGCGGAAGGGGTAAGGGGGGCTGTTTTTACCATAAATCTTTTAACTCTGTTTTCCCATAAGCTTTATGCATAACACAATACCATTTCCTTTTGGATTAGAAGTACTGTTTTCAAACAAGAAACACTACCTAAAAAACAGCAGAACACAGTTCTACTCGTTGTTCATAGAGGAGGTCTTCTCTCAAGTTTTTAGAATTCGAAGCATACTGAAAGATTTTACACTGGACTTTTGAACACAGGAACGTTAAAACTTCCACCTGGAAGGACCCTAAAGCTAACAGGACAGCTCATGCTCATAAGCACTTTTACCACCTCGTCACAGCGGCTCAGTGTGAGTGAGCGTCCCCACAAACAGGTCGGATCGGTGACCAGTAACACAGGCCTCCAGCCCCTGGGGTCTCTGGTCTGAGTGCAGGACAAGCGGCTGCAGCTTGGGGCACAGCGCTTGAACCCATTTCAAGTGGGCGGCTGCCCTGGCCAATTCCATCTGTGTGACAGGAGAGCTCACGGTACTGTCCCCACACACGCCACTGTGGGGGCGGACGCCCCTACCCCAGCGTGGGCAGATCTGCACTAACAGTGGTGAGAAGGACGCACTGCAGTGGCGTCTGATGGGACAGATGGCGTCCCAATACGTGTAAGGAGGCCGACGGTGTAGACAGGTGATCAAGGGGCAGGGGTGGAACACAGGGTGTCATCAGGAAAAAAGTGGTTTAGTAAGGTCCCAAGAGTCAGCAGAAAATTGCCGGGAGCTGCTACCGAGGGGAGGACAGACAAGGCACAAGAGCAGTCTGACAACGCCGGCCGGGGGGCGGCGGGGGTGGGGCCGTGGGCAACGGCAGAGTGGCAGCTCTGCGGCCCTTGCCCTCCTCCTGCTACAGGGGTCTTCTCTTCTCTGGGTCTCACTCTGCAACAGACAGTCCTCCTGTCTTGAGACGTCGCGACCGAAGAGCCCGGTGGAGGCTGTCACCAGGGAAGTGGCAGATTCCAGAAGGTTCCACACCTCTCCCAGATTGGGCGAACCATAGTCAAGGCTCGCTTATTTCTTCCTTCTTTCTTCCTTTCCTTCTTCCTTCCATTTTTTTCTTTTGTTCTTTCTTTCTTCTTTGACTTTTTGGGTGAGGCATCTGATCAAAGATTGAGGCAGTTTAGCTCTAGTTTATGAGGAAACAGAACATGACAGAGTCCCAAAACTCAGAGTGACACATCACACACACCACACTGCCCACACACTCTATGCCCACCAGGCGGGTGGGCTCTCTACGCGTGGCCACCTTAGTGGTACGTCCACGGAAGAAGAGAGACCCAGTGGCAGATCACGACCTTGGGTTCGAGGTGAAGGTCTCTGGCAAATTTGGGCTCCAGTAGGAAGCTCTTAAAGGAGCCTGAACCACACAGCAGCTCCCTTTTGCTGACACGCACATGTTGCAGACACACAGACAGACCGACCGACCGTGGGAAGTGGGACCCAGAGCAGCACAGTATGGAAAGTCAATAGGGTGGGGGGTTTCAAGGCAGGAGTATAAGGATTCACTAAACAGAGGGAAGCAGGAAACGCTGACTTTCCTACAAAGTATGAAGATGACCAATTAAGTGTCAAATCCCTTCCTGACGGTCTAGCCACTGGTGGCCTAGGAAACCAAGGAACTTTTGTGAAGCTCAAGAAGATGCTAGAAATGGCTTCTGCCACTAAAAGGAAAGAGCCAGTGGCAGTAACACGGCCGGGGCAGGATTCCCCCCGGCCCCGCCGCGCTGACGCAAGGGCACAGAGCATTCTTCATGAGAACATGTGCAAATACTCGGACCCTGCCCCAAATGAAAAAATTCTCCCGTTTGATCAGCCTTTAACACTGTCTGAACTACTAGTGAGAGCCTCTTTCTGGCAGTGTACTAGTTACAGGAAATGTTTGGGCAAGCAGGACCTGAGAACGGCTTGGGACCAGCTGAGCTCCCTCCATCACAGACCAGATAACAAATGCTCAAGTCTCTCTGGGAAATAAATCCTGCCATGAAACAAGGAGATGAGTTAGGAAGAGGATGAACTAATGACTGTTTCCGTTACAGAAGATACTAAGGAGCACCGGGCCGGAGACGCATGCAGCCGCACCTGTAAACACCCCACACCACACACCATGCACACGGTCAGCAAGATGCTAGGTTCTCTACTGGGTTAAAGAATACCATAGTTACCACTGTTCATCACAAGGTGCGGGTGCAGACCCCGTTAGCTCACAGCATGCTCAGAATTTTCAATTATCCACTCAATAGCAGCCCACCCCTGGAGCAACACAGAAAGGGTTCAACACGGTGTAAGAAGTGCTGCTTCTCGCACTGCAGACGGCAAGCCACGACCTGTATTTTAAATGGCAGAAGGAAAGCGCTGTGGTTTTAGAGGAGACACAGCAGTAACCGTTTGTGAACAATCTTTCTCCGTAAGCAGGCAGCTTCTCAAGCTCAGAAATCAGGTGGTACGTGTTCTGCCTGGAATTCTCACACGGGCTCGGGCTGTACCGACACCGGCACCCGCCATCTGCACTGTCATCTCCTGAGTGCGGGACGAGGGGGCAGTCTCACCGCCTGCTCGATGGCCTGTCCCACCCAAATCCCAGGATGACCTGCCCTCCTCCTCCTGTGTCCTGTCCTGGGCATCTTCCCAGCTGCTGGGATGCTCTCAGACGGTGACACAGCTCGGGGGAGAAGGGAGTCAGCACGGCAGTCCCTAACAGGAAGTGAAATAACATCATTTGGCCTCGCTCAGTTTCCCCAGACTTTTCTCGCAAGAGGTCTCAGGTGGCTTTGGCCTCACCAAGTAGTCCCTTCCTTCTAGAACTTATTTCTTTCAGTAAACATTTAGGGCGCCCGTCCTAGGGCAGACACTGGCCACACAAAGGTGAGGTTCTGTCTCCTCTTAGGAGGGCTCGCAGTGAGGACACTAGGCACTGCATACCCCCCTCCCCCCGCCTCCCCTGAACTGAGCTGAGCTATTGCCAACATTTCTTGAATCAGGATTTTTCTTAAGAACAGGGCAGACTCGGGGCACCTGGGCAGCTCAGTCGGTTAAGTGTCCAACTCTGGCTCAGGTCATGATCTCCCGGTTTGTGGGTTTGAGCCCGGCATCCAGCTCTGTGCTGACAGCTCAGAGCCTGGAGCCTGTTTCGGATTCTGTGTCTCCCTCTCTGCCTCTCTCCCACTCACACTGTCTCTCTCTCTCAAAAAATAAATATTAAAAAAAAGTTGTTGTTGTTGTTGTTTTAAAACAAGGCAAACTGGCTCTTCTATCAGTGCCTAGGCTAAATGCAAGCCAGAAGGGCTTTCCAGTTAAACTGTGCCAAGCATAACAGGCGACCACGGATCCCCGGAAAGAAGAACTGCTTCTGACCAAATCAAACCAGGAGAGAGCGGGGGAGGGGAGGACAGCCAGGAAGACGTCAGCAAAGGCCCTGCTCTAGCGAGTGACATTACCTTGAACTCGAGTGACATTACCTTGAACTCGAATAACGGCTTCCACGCATCCAAGCTCTTTCCGTCAGCTGTGCTGGAGAGGAGGGGCAACCTGGACTCGGTGAGCAGTGTCCGCCTCCCTAAGGCGGCCCTCCAGCTAGGGACCTGGGGAGGACGGCCGCCTGCGATCCAACCTTTCTCCTGTCACCTCCACAAAGCTTACTCCCAAATCCTGCCAGAGGGGAGGCGCAAAGACGGCAGCTGACTCCGGGGAACTTCGCAGACGAGAGGTTCAGCCAAAGCCGCTAGGTGCCTGTTCAGTAGGAAACTACAATTCCCGAATACCCTGCCTGAAGATGTTAACGTGTGGGGTTTGTTCTGTTCACTGAGCCTGCGCTATTTTGGCTCTCTGAAGTGATGGTTGCTTCCGCTGGGCGTATGTTCCAGATTCACCCAGCACTTCCCCCGCAGGCCTGGGCCAGCCCTCCCTGCGGCCAGTTTTCAATGTCACGGGGAAAATGCTGTGACAGCCAGCACAAGCTCAGCGGGCGATGGAGGGCCGCAGCGCTCCGCAGGACTTAAGGGCCTATACATCTCACCCCCTGAAGCTGGCACTGAACATGTGGGGTGCACACAGGGCCCGGGACTGAGGTCCATACCTTCTTTGCATTGGATGATATCGTGCTGGCCATCAGACTTTCCAGGTAGCTGCCGAGGCTGATCCCCTTCACGGTGATGATGGCTTCTTGTGTGAGCACAGTCCTACGGAAGAGCAGCAAGTAAAGGGGCTGAGCAGGGGAGGCCCCAGCGCATCCTGACCTGGGAATTCAACGTGTCAATCCCAGGACGCAATGACTTACATTTCAGGGTCCTCCGGATGGGGTGTGTATACCAGCCTCTCGTTCACCGACACCAAGTTTGTGAGTGTGATCTTGAAACAACAACAAAATGGTTTTAGGTTTTATTTCTCTTGCATTTCTTCCCAAACCTGCTCAACCTCCCCTTCCATCCTCAATTCACCACTGACTGAAGCCAGAACAGAGGACACATGACGTCCTAGGGAAACGTAGCCCTGGCCACCCCTTCCTGCGGCCGTCGCCCGTCCTCCACACCCGAACCAGAGTCTGGCCTGGCCTTAGGCACTTTCAGACTGCCAAACCATCAGCAGCCGTACAAAAGCCTCACACTTGAAGGTCAGCATCCAGGTAAATAGGCATGAAGCTGCTGATTTTATAAAACAAGCCATGTTTCTAGCTCCTGCATCTTCCCCAACATATTTTTTTGAATATGCAGTAGGCCGATAAAAATTTTTCTGAGAGGAATGAAGGGAAAAAGGTGCTTGTAAAATTAGCGTTAAAGGGGCACCTCGGTGGCACAGTCAGTTAAGCGTCTGACTTCGGCTCAGGTCATGATCTCGTGGTTCGTGGGTTTGAGCCGCACCCCGGGCTCTATGCTGACAGCTCAGAGCCTAGAGCCTGGAGCCTGCTTCCGATTCTGTGTCTCCCTCTCTCTCTGCCCCTCCCCCGCTCATGCTCTGTCTCTCTCTCAAAAAAGAAATAAACATTTTTAAAAAAAGAATAAAAAAAAATTAGTGCTAAAAATCATCTGCTGGTTACAAAGGTGTGTTCACTTTGTGACAATTCATTATGGGCATTTTTTCTATGCACTTATTCTACTGGGATAAAAAGATAAATACAATACAATACTGCTAAATAAATTTAAACTTTCTATTAAAAATAAAAGATCATTGGGGCGCCTGGGTGGCTTAGTCGGTTAAGCGTCTGACTTTCGCTTAGGTCATGATCTCGCGGTTCGTGGGTTCAGGCCCCGCGTCGGGCTCTGTGCTGACTACCAACTCAGAGCCTGGAGCCTGTTTCAGTCTGTGACTCCCTCCCTCTCTGACCCTCCCCTGCTCACGCTGTCTCTCTCTCTCTCCTAGAAATAAATAAAAAACATTAAAACATAAAAATAAAAATAAAAGACCACTTAGACCAAAAGTGGGCTGGAAATAAAATTAAATGAAGACATTACACACCATCACCAGGAAATATCAAGCACCTTTCTCATCTTAGGCCATTGCTTACATTGGTGGAACAAAGTTCCATTTTCTTTTCTACTGGATCCACAACAGAATGTTCTTTGATGTATGTCAAAGTCCGACTGGTTCCCAAAATCTAAAAAACAAAGCAAAACTGGCATAGTAACGTGTCAAAAATTTATTCTGTAGCATCAAACACAAAATGCCATTTCATTTACTAATTAATTCCTTTATTCAACAAATGACACAAGGGGGCACGTGGCCATGGAAGGCCCTGCACAGCTCCTTCCGGGGGTCTCTGCCTCAGCAGGGGAGGCAGACATCGAACAAATGAATGGATTCAGGTAGAGCTGAGTGTGTGGCAGTAATAAATGCCCTGATGAAAAAGAGAATGGTGAGGGGCGGGCAGCGTGGGGAAGGCCCCTCTTCCGGAGGGCAAACCCAGGGAGGGAGGGCGCCATGAACTCTGGTTCTGGGTTTAGCAGGTCAGTTTGCAGTCACCTCCCAGGGCCAGACCTGACAGACTGAGCTCCTGGCAGTGAGAGGCCAGCATGACTGGGGTGCTTGGACTCTGTTGAGAAGAAGACAGGGTCTGCATGGGCACGGGAAAGCTGTGCTCAGATTTACACAGTCAATGACCTCCCTGATGGCTCCATGGAAGAGACCTGTCAGGACCGAATGTGTCCCCAAAGTTCATGTGTTGATGCCCTGACCCCCAACACCTCAGAATATGACTGTATTTGGAAACAGGGTCTTTTGAGAGGTAATTAAGTTTACATGGGAGTCATTAGGATGGGCCCTAACCCAGTCCGAGCAGTGTCCTTATAAGGAGCTAAGAACACACTGAGGGAGACACCAGGGCTGCGTGGGGTCCAGCGACCACCACCTGCAGAGGAAGCAGGGCAGCCGTCTGCCCAAGGAGAGGGGCTGGGACAGACCCTTCCCTCACGGTCCTCGGCAGAACCAAGCCTGCCCCTGCCTTGATCTCGGACCTCCCCCCCCAGCCTGCGGTATCTGGTCAGGCCCAGGGCCATGGGGTGACGCAGGAGAGGAGCCTGTGGAGGCGGGGACAGACCTGAGGGCCGGGGAGCCACGCCACCCATCAGGTGACCTCAGGACCCACAGAGATAGAAAATTAGTGAAGTTTACAGAGAAACAAACCAGCTCTCAGGTTTCTCTGAAGTCCTGAGTGGGTGCTCTAAGGGAAGGCTGTCACTTCCTGCAGATGGGCGCCCGCAGGGCACATGCAGGTGCAGCAGGAACAACTAGGGAGCAGCCAGGTGGTGTGGGTACAGCCCTGGCAGGGCGATGCGGGCACAGGGGGGGTAATGCAGGGGGCAGGGGTGCGATGCAGGTATAGCCCAGGCAGGGTGATGCGGGCGCGGGGGAGGGCGGGGGGGCGGGTGATGCAGGGGGCAGGCGTGCGATGCAGGTATAGCCCAGGCAGGGTGATGCGGGCCTGGGGTGGGGGTGGGGGGCGATGCGGGTGCAGTGGGGACGACGAAGGAATAGCCGGGGAGAGGTGGGTGCAGCGGGAAGAGGCGGGTGTAGCTGGCGCGCGCGGGCTGGCGGGGTGGGGCTCTGCGGCGGGGCGGGGGCGGCCCGGGCGGGGCGGGGGCGCAGGTGCAGGCTCACCGCTTTCACGAAGCCGGGCAGCCCCCACTCGGTGCTGAGGAGGCGGTGGCTATGCAGCCGGCCCCGGCCATCCACGCTGCGCTCCAGCACGTCAACTCCCACGACACAGGGGTTCATTGGATTCGGGTACTTCCTCATGGCAGCTTTGATGACAGTGTCCCATGGGTGGCTGGTGGGGAAAATACAATCACTCAGCATAAGCAGGCAATCCCTACACCTGTAAAGTGTGTCACAGTGGCGCGGGAGGGCCAGAGACGCGGTAGCCCACACAGGGAAGTGAATCAAGGTTAATGCTCATTAAAAGCTTCTCTCTTTTGGCTTTAATTAAAGGTGTATTCAAACAAATCTGTCTAAGGCATCCGGCTCCACACCCAAATCCTGGATCTTGTGATCCTTCTGGGCTGACCAGAGGCAACCGGAAGGCTTTGCCTGGGAGGACTCGCAGGACACTGAGGACGCAGAGGTCTCTGGCTGCTGGCACCGAGCTCGGTGTGTCTGCATTCCCCGCCCAGGTGCTGCACTCACAGGCCACCCCATCGCTGGGGCCTTGGCCGAGCCACTTCCCACCTTCCCGACCTCCCCTTCCTCCGCCACCTCACCCTTGAACAACACTGGTTTGAACTGCACGGGTCCACTTCCGTGTGGATTTTTTTCAATAAATACAGAAAAGTACTGTAATTGTATTTTCTCTTCCTTATGATTTTCTTAATACCATTTTCTGTTCTTTAGCTTAATGTAAGAATACAGTATATAATGTATAAAATATGTGCTCATTAACTGTTCATGTTATCAGTAAGGCTTCCAGTCCATAGTAGGCATAAGCTAATTTCTTGGGGGAAGCAAAAGCTCTACATAATATTTAATCTACAGATTCAGTGTAACCCCTATTAAAATGACAATAACATTTTTCACAGAACTAGAACAAATAACACAAAAATGTGTATGGAACCACAAAAGACCCCGAATAGCCAAAGCAGTCTTCTGAAAGAAGAACAAAGCTGGAGGTATCACAATCCCAGATTTCAAGGTTAACTACAAAGCTGTAGTAATCAAAACAGTATGGTACTGGCACAGAAATAGACAACACAGATCAAAAGAACAGAATAGAGAGCCAGAAATAGACCAGCACTTACATGGTCAACTACCAAAAAGGAGACAAGAATATAATTGGGAAAAGACAGTCTCTTCAGTAAATGATGCTGGAAAACGGAACAGTTACATTCAAAAGGATGACACTGGAAAGGGCACCTGGGTGGCTCAGTCAGTTAAGCTCCCAACTCTTAATTTCAGCTCAGGTCATGATCTCATGGTTCCTGAGATCAAGCCGACGTCAGGCTCTGCGCCAACAGTGAGGAGCCTGCTTGATTCTCTCTCTCCGCCCCTCCCCTTGCTTGTGCACGTGTGCGTGCTATCTCTCTCAAAATAAATAAATACATTTTAAAAAAATGAAATTGGACCGCTTTCTTACACCATATACAAAAATAAATTCAAAATGGATTAAAGACCTAAATGTGGGGCATGAAACCATAAAACTCCTAGAGAAAAACATAGGTAGTGAGTTTTTTGACATTGGCTGTAGCAATATTTTTCCAGCTGTCTCCCAAGGCAAGAGAAACAAAAGCAAAGATAAATTATTGGGACGACACCGAAAATAAAAGAAAATAATTAAAAAATAAAGCTTTTGCACAGTGCGGGAAACCATCAACAGAATAAAAAGGCAACCTAATGAAAGGGAGAAGATATTGGCAAATGTAATATCTGATAAGGGATTAATATCCAAAATATATAAAGAATTTATTCAACTCAATACCAAAAAAACCCCCAAATAATCCAATTAAAAATGGGCAGACGACCTAAATAGACATTTTTCCAAATAAGACATACAGTTGGCCAACATACACACAAAAAGGTGTTCCAGATCACTAACCATCAGGGAAATGAAAGTCAAAACCATAAGAAGCTATCACCTTATGTTTATCAAAATGGCTAAAATAAAAAAGACAAGAAGTTGGTAAGAATATGGAGAAAAAAGGGGCACCTGGGTGGCTCAGTCGATTAAGCGTCCGACTTCAGCTCAGGTCATGATCTCATAGCTCATGGGTTCGAGCCCCATGTCAGGCTCTGTGCTGACAGCTCGGAGCCTGGAGCCTAGAGCCTCCTTCTGATTCTGTGTCTCCCTCTCTCTCTCTGCCCTTCTCCCACTCACAATCTCTCTCTCAAAAATAAATAAACATTAAAAATTTTTTTAAAAGAATATAGAGAAAGAAGAACCCTCACACATTGTTCAGGAATGTAAATTGGTACAGCCATTGTGGAAAACAGTATGAAGTTCCTCAAAAAATTAAAAATAGAACTACTATACAATCCAGTCATTCCACTACTGGGTATTCACCCAAAGAAAATGAAAATACTAGTTCAAAACGATATTTGCTTTTCTGTGTTTACTGCAGCATTATTTACAATAGCCAAGATACGGAAACAACCCAAGTATCTACTGACAAAATGAATGCATAAAGAAGATGTGGTCTACATATACAATGGAATATTACTCAGCCATAAAAAAGGAGGAGACCTTGCCATTTATGACAACACGGGTGGACCTAGATGGTATTATGCTAAGTCAGACAAAGAAAAATATCATAGAATTTCACTTACATGCGGAATCTAAAAAGCAAAACAAAGGAATAAGTAAAATGCAGAAACAGATGCATAAATACAGAGAACAAACTGGTGGTTGTCAGAAGGGAGGGGGTGGGCAGCATGAGTGAAGAGGACTGGGAGATACAGGCTTCCAGTTGTACAATGAGTAAGTCATGGGGATAAAAGGTACAGCACAGGGGGACCTAGATGGCTCAGTTGGTTAAGCGTCCAAATTTTGATCTCGGCTCAGGTCATGATCTCACGGTTTGTGAGTTCAAGCCCCACATTGGGCTCTGCGCTGATGGCGTGGAGCCTGCTGGGGATTCTGTCTCTCCTTCTCTCTGCCCCTCACCTGCTTGTGCTGTCTCACTCGAAAGAAAGAAAGGAAAGAAAGGAAAGAAAGAAAAGAAAGAAAGGAAGGAAGGAAGGAAGGAAGGAAGGAAGGAAGGAAGGAAGGAAGGAAGGAAGGAAGAAAGAAAGAAAGAAAGAAAGAAAGAAAGAAAGAAAGAAAGAAAGAAAGAAAGAAAGAAAAGAAAGAAAGAAAGGAAGGAAGAAAGAAAGAAAGGCACAGCATAGGGAATGTGGTCAGCGGTACTGTAATACTTTGTATGGTGGTTACACCTGTGGTGAACCTAGCACGGCGTACAGAGGTGTTGAATCACCGTGTGGTACACCCGAAACTAACGTAATATTGTGTGTTAACTATACTTCAATTTAAAAAAAGGTATTTAGGGTATTTAGGAAGTAGTAGTACTTTGTAACTAATTGTTAGAGAAAGAAAAGTAAAGGGACCATACATTCCAGTTTGCCCAGGACAGTTCCAGTTTTTGCCTTTTGTTCTATTGCACATACTAAGAGTTTCCCCTTTTGCTTTCAAAGGCATCCTAAATTAGATGATAAATTAGGTGTTAATCCTGGAAATAAGGAAAGAGGAGGATTCAAGAATGATGCCCAGGTTTTTGGCTTGAACAACTGTGTGGATAGTTGGGCCATTTACTGAAAGAGTTTGTTTTTTAAATTATACACAATTTTCAGCTGTGCAGGGGATCAGCGCCCCCTAAGCACCCGCATTATTCAAGGGCCAACTGTACTTTGTTCCAACTTCTAAGTGGGAGGTGATGGGAAGTGGCCAACCTATTTCTTCTGATTATAAAAAATAAGTGCCCAAAATACTGAAAAACAAAGAAAAGTATGAAAATAAAACCATCCACAATTCCACTACCCAACGATGACCACAGCCTGTGTGGAGTCCCCGAGGGTGTCCCCAGTCCTCCCTGAAGCTACCTCTCCTTGTGTCGCCCTGAGCCCTTGTGGTGGGGGGTGGACACCTTTGTCCCTATTTTGTTTCCTGCTATCAGAGAGGCCGCAAGCCAGGTCCACAGCTGTCCCACTGCTGGGGCAAGGCTGGTTCAATGCTAGTTGAGGCTCGAAACCTGATGGTAGTCCACAGGATGTCAAGCACCACCTTCAGATGTTGAGGGTGGCCCGTCCCCGAGTCCTTATTCCCCTAATTCTTCCTTCCTCCAACATGCGTGCCCCCAGGAGGCATCTGAGCCCCCTGCAAAGATGGGTGCGTCAACAACACCATCATTCTTCAGACACACCCAGACAAGGTTAAACAGCATGGGTAGGGGGCGCCTGGGTGGCTCAGTCAGTTGAACGTCCGACTTCGCCTCAGGTCATGATCTCACACTCTGTGAGCTCAAGCCCTGCGATGGGCGCTGTGCAGACAGCTCAGAGCCTGGAGCCTGCTTCGGATTCTGTGTCTCCCTCTCTCTCTGCCCCTCCCCTGCTCATGCTCTGTCTCTCTGTCTCTCAAAAATAAATAAACGTTAAAAAAATTTTTTTAAAAAGCATGGGTAGACAAAGCCCAGACTCAAAACCAAAATACACACACACATGCACCTTAAAAAGATTGAACTAGCATCTGGCTCAAACCATACTCAGATCATATTGTCTGCTTTGTATATGTAATTGATGATGAACATCTTCATCATGAACCTATTTTCAGAAATGTGATTATAAACAGCTGCGCAATAGGTTACCCTGCAGACATTTATATTTAACCAATTCCCTATGGTGGGTTATTTTTTTAAAGTTTATTTATTTTGAGAGAAAGATACAGAGAAAGCGAGCAGGGGAGGGGAAGAGAGAGAGGGAAAGAATCCCAAGCAAGCTCCGCACCATCAGCACAGAGCCTGATGTGGAGCTCAAACTCACAAACCACAGTTTTGAGTTTGAGTTCAAGACCTGAGCCAAAACCAAGAGTCAAATGCTTAACCGACTGAGCCTCCCAGGTGCCTCCCTCTGGTGAGTTATTTAGTTTGCTCAGCAAAATAAAGACAGTAGTGGCCACTGGGGGACACTCATCTTTCATTTATATAATTCTTCCTTAAGATAAATTCTTGGAAATGGAATTACTAAATCAAGTATCAAAGATTATGACAAAATTGAAGGGTTTTGTTCCATATTTGACATCCTTTTAAAGTATCACTTACTGGGGGTGCCTGGGTGGCTCAGTCGGTTGGG